AGTACAGTAGTGACAACAGTGTCCATGTTGAACTAATCAGTACTGAGTAGATAGAGGTAGATATCTTTTTTAAAGATAACAGTGTCCGCAAAACAAAAATGACAATTAAATCTGTGTTTTTAAGGATTAGGAAAAAAGTAGATTCGGCCAGTGCTCCATCTGCATCGACTTCATCCAACAGAATTACAGTACCATAATTAATACGGTCACTGCATACTTTACTTCTGCGACTTGCAGTGTACTTCCACTTTATTATAATTATTGTTATCATTAAACCAGAATCTCTGTCACTCGTGCACATTATATTTTTAAAAACACGTACAGTCTTATCTTGGAAGCCAGTTACCACCAATTAAGAGATTTGTAAAAACATATTCAATAAAGACTGGATTAAAAGAAGCAGATTTAAATACATTAGATCATTTCACAGTTGATAAAGTGTCCATTAAGAAAAGCTCTCACCAGTGGTTACATTATCCGGAGCAGTTTGTCTAATTTGTTCACACAATATGCAGCAATTACAAGCATCTTTTCACAGATTATTTGATGCATTAAGAGAGTGGCGAGAGTGGAGAGAGGAAAGCCAAGAAAGACAGATGATGATGTGTATCAAAGTTCACTAAATAAATGCAAGAGGAAGGTGCTGTAAATTTTTCTTTCTGTCAGCTAATGTCTTTGTTTTGGGCCACGGAGTAAAGGAGTCTGAATGCCTGGTAATGTCTGCAATAAGACCTTTTTACCACCTCTTCTGCAGTATGCTGTAGGCCAGTTCTGTAGTCAAAGTGTTTGTGAATTTACGCATGCGTGTGTGTCACTGAGTGTGTGTCACCACGTGTGTGTTTGTGTCACAGCTCTCAGAGAGGACCCTGGGACCTGTTTCGACAGTAAGAGCTTTTAGCTCTTCTTCACTAATGTCCTGAATAATGGCATCTCGATGGAGAGCAACTAGATGAAAAAGAGAATGAGAGAAAGGGGGGAGAAAAGGAGAAAATAAAGGAAAGGACAGGTGAGGGGGGAAGAGATGGAGGGGAAAGACAGAGAGAGAAACCACTGCATCCATCAGTCTTTACCTCCAGACCTCCATCAGCAGCAGTTCTACCATTACTCCCTCTCTGCCTCTCTTTTCATTATTTCATTTTTTTAGCATCATGATGATCCAGCTTCTGCAAAAAGACGCGTGCACGTGTCTATCCACATGTAAGGAGTGTAACCCAACCTTTCAGCAAGTGAACTTCTGATGACACAGGCATTATTGGGAAGAAAGCACTGTAAGCTGATGCCACATTCGTCCCTCAAGACGTAACACCACACGTGTTTTACACAAAAACGCAATTTCTACTCAAGTTCAGCTGCTGATAGAGATGCAGATGACCAAAACCCCCAGGATCCAATTGCAAGATAAAAGTCCTGACAAATGATGAACGCCACTGAACTTCCCAGACTTAAGTCTCCTTCATGATACTTCACTCAAATGTGTTATTTAGTGGCTTGTCATGTTAAAATGCATTAAGGAGCAGCGTCTGAGTAACAGTCGACACTCTCTATTGTTTCAGGCCTTTAAAATGTAGATTTTGAGGTGAGATTCCATTTGAAGCAGGCAAATTTGAAAATACATGTAACCAGAATGTAACAGTCAAGAGTACTGAAGAAATAAATCAGTTATTTAGCAGTATAGTCAAATGTGCTCCTACACCTTCTATTTAATGATGTATGGTTACTGATTCCTGACTTCTCTCTCCTCAGAAAACTTCCCCTGCTGTGGATTGTCAGGAGTCTGGAGAGTCAGCGCAACATGAAACGTAACATAGGTTAAATCCTATATGTGGTTGATGTAAGAAAACCTCACTGTTGGTTGTCCGGTCACTCTGGGTCAGCTGCAGCGACAGTTCAGGGTGAGTGACCATGACCGAGAGACACACCCACACTTTCTCTTTCCTCACAGTTTCCACCTATTTTCAACATCACAAAAACATGAGTGAGTGAGAGTGTAGGAGAGTGTGGCAGAGTGTGTGTGTAAGAGTGTGAGTGAGTGAGTGTGTGAGAGTCTGGGAGAGTGTGAGTAAGTGAGTGTGTTAGTGAGTGAGTGAGTGAGTGAGTGAGTGAG